TGCACACCATAGGCCCGCGCGCACAGCCCGCGCGGCCCCGCGAAGGTCTGCAGAGTCGCTGCGGTGCTCCCGGCCATGCCTGGCTCCCTTCGCGGCGCCCCTGCGGGAGAGACAGTCAGCAGCTTCGTCAGCGCGGGTCTGCGAAGCTGGCCGAGCCCCTGCGCCGCTCTGCGGGGTGCTTCCGGCCGCCCCTGGCCTGGGAGGGGCCGCGCACCCCACCCCACGCCTGTGAGTGGCCTCACGGTCGGCCTGGGGCAGGCCCGCCGGTGCTTTGGCCTGGACACAGAGGCGCAGGCCTGGGAGCCTGGAGCCCTTGGCCAAAGGCTCAGGGGCAGGGGTGGGGCCCCGCAGTCGCTCGGCTCTGAGGAGGCCACAGTTAGAGCAGCACTGGCCAAGGGGCCTGGCCCCGGCTCTGGCAAGCACAGGCGCCCGTTGCACGCCGGTAGGTAGGACCCCACAGGGGCCGCCGCGCAGCTGGCAGTTGTCCACTTGGCCCTGGGCGGAGCACAGGCCCCCCGCATGAAGCTGGGACTCCCCTCTGAGACCCGGGGGCACCAGCGGTGGGTGGGGTGGTCATCACAGCTGTGGCCCACGTGACTACACCCCCTTGGGAAGATGACTGGCCCCACCTTCTCCAGGGTGTTCTCTGGCGGCCGAGGGGCCCAGACTGGCCATCTGAGTCTGGATGAGGCGGCCCAGGACCAGCTCAGGTCTGGACACCCTGGGGGCTGACCCCAGCCCCTGGACAAATCCTGAGACACCAGCCCAGACCTGAGAGCCCACCCAGCCAGGCGGCAGCCCCAGAGGTGTGCCAGCGCCCGCGACTGGAGGGGGTGGCCTCTCACCAGCTGGCGTCCCAAGTGACAGGGCCTCAGCTAAGCGGCAGGTGGTTCCGGCTGGACACTGCGCTGGGCGCAGGGCTGGAGCTCTGGACAGGGCATCCATGGGCTCAGGCAGGGCTTCTGACCCAGGTGCGCTGGGGGAGGTCAGGCCCTTTCCAGGCGTCCATCCCTCTTGTCCACCTTGGTGATCACAACCCCCAAGTCCTCCTGCCACCCAGCTCCATCTCCTCTGAGGCTCAGGTGGATGATCGTGTCCAGGCAGGGAGGGAACCCCAACAGTCTCACTGACTCCCGGGCCAGAGGTGCGGGGCAGAGAGGGGAAGGTGCCAGGCCCAGCGCAGCCGCCAACCCGGTCAGCACTGGCCTCAGAGGTCCCACGGGCCGGGCTCCATGGCGGCGATGGCCCTGTGCCCCTGGCCAGTGGGCCCGCCTTCCCGGAGCCGTGGGGGGCGGGGCTCGGAGGCTCGCACGGAGGGACCTGGGCGCCTGCCCTGCAGGACCCTGTGTGCCGGGCCGGCCCCGCAGTCTGGGCCCCTGAGCGAAACTGGCTCTGCCCTGGCTCTCGCGGCCCTGGTGCTCACAGCGCGCAGCGCCCTCTCCGCAGAAGGGGCCTGCACACGCCAGGCTTCTCCGGGCCGAAGGGGTGAGTCGGGCGTCTCCTTTGGCAGGCCGGGCACCCGCTGCTCCCTGGCCCCTGGGGAGGAAAAGGTCTGAGCCCTCCGGGAGCAGGGAGAAGACACAGACGCAGGCCGGCGCCTGCGAGCAGGGTGGGGCTAGGGCAGGTGCCCGCAGGACGGCAGGACGCCGCCATTCGGGGTTGGGCACCAGAGGGCAGGGCAGAGCTGCGTGCAGGGGCCCCGGGCCGGGGGTGGGGGAGGCGGGGCCAAGTGTTCAGGCGGAGGTCGCGGCGCCCCTTCCCATGCAGGCCTGAGAGGCAAGAACACGGGTCCTGCCAGTCACCTCCCACCCAGCGTGCGCTCCCCACTGCCAGAAAGCGCAGACAGGGGCCGTCCCAACACGGGCACCACCGAGATGCCCGGGCAGACACCAGCCTCTTCCTGC